AGTATGTACCTATAGTATGCACAAAATTCAAGGTTTTTTCGAAAAAAGAAAAAAAAATTCAGACAGTCCTCAATAAAAAAGTTTTTTTGGTCACCTTGAAGACAAATGAATAAAATCTACATCTACATACATATAACATACAAAATGTAAGTTTATGTATACATTTTATGTTATAACAAGTTAATTTTTTGGTATACTATACATTTTATGATTTTTAAGTAAAACAATAAATTAAAAAGCAATATTCTACATCTCGAAACCTCGATAACTCGAATATTTTTGGCAATTAACGAGTTTCTACTGTACCAATTTTAACAAAAAAATGAAACATTAAGATTAACGATAAAGCCCTAGAAGAGTTCTAAGTTTCAAAGTCCATCTCTCCCGCTGATCTATCTTTCCCGGATTTACCCTATTATGTTGGGAAATAATTAACATTCACCCAACATAGGCTTAGTTGTCTGCTTAACAAAATTGAATTAACTGCGTCAGAACAGAAACGTAAAACTTTAAGAATCTGTAAGTCTTAAGGTTTGGACGTGAACAAATTTACAAACCGGCTTAAAAAACTGTTAACTGTTTCAGAAAATGAGATTTTTTTCTGCTAAAGTTAAAATGAAGAGGGTCTAGTGAGCATAGGAAATTAAATTTCAGTATTTCAGTCCATTGTGTGGTGAAACCGGAATTATTCGTCATGGGTCTGCTCGCCGCCTTGTACCAAACTTAGTTGCCTTAACTATTATCGGTAATTCCCTTAACTATGTGTATAATGTAGCACACAAATGCACTGTAATTTAAATACCACTGCCAAACAAAGGTCCTGAAACAATTTAATAACATCACTCTGTTAGTAACAAGTAAGCAACAGCTCACCCCAAAACCAGGCATTTCGTAAAATCAAAATATAAATTGCTTGAAATTTACTGGACTTATTAAAATTATCTTTGGATTGTTTGGAATTACTGGAATTATTTGGGAATTACCAAGACTTTTCTAAAATTACTGGAATTTTTTGGAATTATCGGAGATAATTTTTTAAAATTTACGTTAAATTTCTTAAAACTATATAAATTGAAATTATAGGAATCATTCTGAAAATATGGAATTACCCTGGATTATTGTAATTATTGAAATTTCGGTGGATTTTTTGGAATTGTAATTAGTTTATTTTTCAAGTCAACTGAAAAATACGTCAAAAATTGTTTATAATTTTTACAATTTTGCAATTAGGGATAATACGAAAAAATAATTTCTCAACCCCCCCAAGGATAATATATTCATTTTAGGTATCTCCTAAGGCCTCTATAAAAATATTTGATTTAAAAATGTGTAATTACACTGACAAAAAGAACATAAATTACGGTTTTTCGTAAACATTTACAATTTTTTTTCTAATTTTTACCAAAAAAGTCATTAAATTCATTCCTGAAATCATCGATGTTTCAGATTTAAAAAAAACACTCAAATTTGATGCAAAATATCCTAAAACGCCATTTACTAGTTTATTATTTACTTTGTTTAAGATTTTAAAATCGCTTGGTGCGATTTTAAATTACTTGATATTTTCTTTTCAAAATTTTCAAAAAAAAGCTCAAGATAAGAACCATATTTTGACATTTTTTAATAAAGGCTTGTCTTTAACTTTTGGACGATTTTTTCTAATCATTTTTAAGAATTTGTACTTTTCCTAACCGTTTTCAGTTTAAAAAATTGTTCAATCTTCAACTGTAGAAAAAATTGAACACGCCTATAAAAAAATTGTATAAGAATAATAAAAGTAAAAAATATAATTAATATTACAGTCATTGTTTAAGATTAGAAAAAGTATGGTATTAAACTCGTAAGAAATAGACATTGAATTGATGAATCACTCACCTTCAGCTCGTATTCATCTTCGTGGAAATAGCCGGTTTTCTGACTTGTTGAATAATATACTATTTATAAACAAAACCCAAAAATGTTTAATTCATTTTACGTGGCTCCTAGAGCCCCCATCAAAAATATTCGATTACCCTGATTTCAACAAAAAACGCTCAAAATTATTTAAAATTATTAAAATTATTTTTGGATTGTTTGGAATTACTGGAATTTTTTGAGAATTGCCAGAATTTTTCTGGATTTATTAGACGTTTTTTGGAATTATCAAAGATATTTTTTTAAATTAAGTTGAACTTCTTAAAACTATAAAAATTAATTTGGGGTTATAGGAATTAATCTGAAAAATAGCATTACAATGGATTATTGTAATTATTGGAATTTCGGTAAATTTTTTTAGAATTGCAATTAATTTATTTTAAATTAACTGAAAAATACGTCATTCGCGTTAACACTACAGCTGTGTAATGAAATTATTGATGGTAGGTTAAATCCGAGGCCGAAACTGTCAAGAACAGTAGCATGTTCGTTGCTTTGTTGATTCACCATTAAGCATTTCTGGATTTGCTAAACCATAATTTGATGGAAAAGTAAAACAGAACTTCAAAACTAAAGACTTTTATTGTTCCTGAAGCTTTACTACAATCCGTGACAAAACGGACTTTCATAAACTTTGTAATTAAATGTAGTAGTTTTATGTGATTAATTCTAGTTTGCAACATCAAAGAAAGATCTCAATTCAATCTGCCCAACTTTGGAAGATGTAGAGAAGAGGAAAATCAATGTTTCAACAATTTAATATACTGTCCAACACAGATTCACTTTTTCACGCTTTGGAGAAGTATGCTGGGTTTATACAGAGTGCCCCAGAAAAAAATGCCATGTAAGGTAACATGGAAAAAATTAAAAAAAAATTCTATCTATAAATTAACAAAGAGAAGCGCTAAATTTGACTAATTGCCTTCCTATCTCCCCAGTTGTACATTTTTTTAAATTAGAAAAAAATTAAACCCAATTCACTGGTAATTTTTTCTGAGAATACAGGGTGTTTTTACGGAAAATTGCAACCACATCAAAAAATAACAGTGAGGACACAAAGTCTGTAAAATTTTATGAAACTAACTCTAGTGGTTTTAGAGGAACTAAGGGATTTTATTCTTTATCATGAAACTATATCATCCTGTTTATTCGATACGAAACTTTATAGGACTATGGTTTATTTGACAAATTAGTGTTATTTTTCGATGTGACATATGCAATTGCAATTTTTCGCAATATTAAAAAAAACCTGTATAGAGGGTGCGCCAGAACTCGCGCCCTAGAGAAAAATGTAATTTTGTTTGTCGTCAACGTCCTTGAGAAAATTTGATTACCTCTCTTTATTGGGATCTTTTTCTCTATGCTTTTTCGAAAATGAGCATTGTTTACCATTTCTATTAGTAAGTTATTAAAGTAAATATATATTAATTCTAATTTTCATTAATCTTTACACTTAATTAGCTTTCCAAGGCCAGTTTAGTTTTATTTGATACTGAAACAAAATACATGATGTGTAGGTAGGTTTTTCCGTTTTAATATCAGAAACAAATAGACATTTTTATTTTTAAACCGACAATTGAAGTAGTTGCTAGTGAAATTCTTGTAAGTACATAATTTATTTTAAAAATTCGGTATTCTCCCATAATGAACAAATAGCTATTTATGTATCAAGTCCGCAAAACAGGGTTTTAGGGGACGAATCGTAATTAAGAGTGAACTATAATGAATAAAAAAATAAATCGTTATTTAAAAATTCTGAAAAAATTATCATAACTTTTTGATGGTTTTAGCAGCAACATAAAGTATGTCCTCGGATTAAGTTTACAAGAGGATTTTTTTTATTTATATGATTTTACGCCAAAACTGCAAATGAAAAAAAAGTTTTTGCTTTACTTGAAACCAACCAGGCCATAAACTCTTATCAACTCAAATATTTCTACTCTAAACTCTTCAGATTTACACGAATTATTTTTTCGCCTCAGGACAATATATAGGGTGCACCAGAACTCGCGCCCCAGAGAAAAATGCCATATAGGATAAGATACCAGGAACATGGGAAAAATGTTAAAAAAATTTTATCTATAACAATTTTGAAGATATGAAAGCTTAAATTTTGCACTTTGACTATTTATTTCGGTTGGAAAAATAATTGTCCAAATTTTTTTGCTACAGACTATTAGAAGAGGAAAGAAGAAAGCTGTATCCTAAATTGTAACTCTGTTCAATATTATTTGTGGCTTTTATTGGCAAAATTTTTGTACCTTTCCTAAATAGTCGTAAAAAAAATAGAAGATCATCAGTATTAAATAGACATAAAAAAATGTCATATGTCAAAACATAATTATTGTCAAAATTTTTTGACAGATTTTTTTTAAACAGTTTTTCCATGTTCCTGTTATCTTATCTTGCTTGAAATTTTTCTCTGGGGTGTGAGTTCTGACACACTATAATTTAATTTTTAATTCTTCTTGAACAAATTTTGATAAAATTGCACTTGGAATTTCTAAAAGCAGCTTTTTATGGAGTTTAATTTTCAAACTTTTTTGTTTCTATTGGTTTTATTTTTTCGTAGAATTGCGTAGTAGATAGTTTAAGAAATTTTTTTTCCTTTTAGACAAAACACTATTAGAAAAAGTGGATTTTTACTTTGTTATTTATAAGTTGTCATAAAAAATAATGATTTTACAGCAGGTTTTTTTTTAATGTGCGCTTTGCTCTAACGATCTAATTTCCCACCTTGGTCTAATTCGACATCCTAAATATCCAATGTCGACCCATTTATTATACCTACACAGATAACCAGCAAGGTAAAAACAGTTAACTGTTAATTTCCTGGTATCGAATAAAACTGCGAAATAAATAATTTCTTTCGAATAATTACTAAAATTTCTTGGAAGAGAGTCTCCGGAAACATGAAATTTTTCAAATCCTGTTTGTCCAAATCGGAAATTTATAAAGTACGTGCTTTGCAGTTCCAACGTCAGCAGTCATTTAGCTGAGACAAGCCCTTGACTCGATTTATCAAGGTAAGGTTGAAGATCACCATAACGTAATGCAAGGTTTTCTTCTCGTCTCTGCACCTTCCTATAAAACCAAACGTTTGCGTCCAGTTCGATAACAGTGAATGTGTTTGTATTGTGGTTACTTGTGTGCATCGGCCCCGCTTTATATCCGCAAAGTAAGTCGACGGAAATTCAGTGTATCAACGGACAGAACTGGAAAATAACCAGTTCAACAAAAAAATTTTCTAAAAAACTAACAACTAGAACTTGAAAACTTGGAAACTAGTGACAAAGTTAAGAATATGTGTTTTTTTGGCTTGAAAATATTTACATTCTTCTCAAAATCTATTTTTTTTTTTTTGTAATTGAAAACCAACATTTTTTTTATTGCCCTACAAATTTTATACACACTAATATACAGAGCCTAATCAAATTTAAAAAAAAGAAATTTTCTTTTTCAGGTTTTTTCAACTCCTAAAAAAACGT